GGAGGGGTTGGGACGAGGGAGAGGGAAGGGGAGGAGGTGCGTGAGATCGTCGCGAGATACGTTTGTGCCAGTGTACACGTCTAGTCTCCAAATTTAATGTGACGTCTGTGTCACGTACCTCCTTCCATCGCTACTCCACGTCGCGGACATAAACGGTCTCTGTCTTTCTCTCTCTCTCTCTCTTCCTTTCTCTGTCTCTCCTGCTCTCGCCACTCTCGAAAATACGCGCCCCTATATAACGCATACGCCAACGTTCCTGTCTCTCTCTCTTTCGACATTGCATTTCTAAAATCAAGAGCTATCGAGATGTAAACATCAGGACCAGGATTAGTTATTTTGCTAGAAATATTGGAATAATTTTGTTGAAAGATATTAATAATCTTCTCTCCAAGAGTATCTCTTCAATAATTTATCTCGTCGTATCTCGAAAGTGACACTTGATTATTCTATTAAAGTATTTAATATATATCTAACAATCGACAATTTTTAAAATAAACTAAAACTGTTATCGATAATTGATAAGATTTATATAGAAAATAAATTAAAAATTTTTGATCGCTCGAAAATACGCGCCCCTATATAAATGCATCGCCAACGTTCCTGTCTCTCTCTCTTTCGATATTGCATTTCTAAAATCAAGAGCTATCGAGATGTAAACATCAGGACCAGGATTAGTTATTTTGCTAGAAATATTGGAATAATTTTGTTGAAAGATATTAATAATCTTCTCTCCAAGAGTATCTCTTCAATAATTTATCTCGTCGTATCTCGAAAGTGACACTTGATTATTCTATTAAAGTATTTAATATATATCTAACAATCGACAATTTTTAAAATAAACTAAAACTGTTATCGATAATTGATAAGATTTATATAGAAAATAAATTAAAAATTTTTGATCGCTCGAAAATACGCGCCCCTATATAAATGCATCGCCAACGTTCCTGTCTCTCTCTCTTTCGATATTGCATTTCTAAAATCAAGAGCTATCGAGATGTAAACATCAGGATCAGGATTAGTTATTTTGCTAGAAATATTGGAATAATTTTGTTAATAGATATTAATAATCTTCTCTCCAAGAGTATCTCTTCAATAATTTATCTCGTCGTATCTCGAAAGTGACACATGATTACTCTATTAAAGTATTTAATATATATCTAACAATCGACAATTTTTAAAATAAACTAAAACTGTTATCGATAATTGATAAGATTTATATAGAAAATAAATTAAAAATTTTTGATCGCTCGAAAATACGCGCCCCTATATAAATGCATCGCTAACGTTCCTGTCTCTCTCTCTTTCGACATTGCATTTCTAAAATCAAGAGCTATCGGGATGTAAACATCAGGATTAGGATTAGTTATTTTGCTAGAAATATTGGAATAATTTTGTTGATAGATATTAATAATCTTCTCTCCAAGAGTATCTCTTCAATAATTTATCTCGTCGTATCTCGAAAGTGACACTTGATTACTCTATTAAAGTATTTAATATATATCTAACAATCGACAATTTTTAAAATAAACTAAAACTATTATCGATAATTGATAAGATTTATATAGAAAATAAATTAAAAATTTTTGATCGCTCGAAAATACGCGCCCTATATAAATGCATCGCAACGATCCTGTCTCTCTCTCTTTGACATTGCATTTCTAAATCAAGACTATTGGATGTAAACATCAGGCTCAGGATTAGTTATTTTGCTAAAATATTGGAATAATTTTGTTGATAGATATTAATAATCTTCTCTCCAAGAGTATCTCTTCAATAATTTATCTCGTCGTATCTCGAAAGTGACACATGATTACTCTATTAAAGTATTTAATATATATCTAACAATCGACAATTTTTAAATAAACTAAAACTGTTATCGATAATTGATAAGATTTATATAGAAAATTAATTAAAAATTTTTGATCGCTCGAAAATACGCGCTCCTATATAAACGCATCGCCAACGTTCCTGTCTCTCTCTCTTTCGACACTGCATTTCTAAAATCAAGAGCTATCGAGATGTAAACATCAGGACCAGGATTAGTTATTTTGCTAGAAATATTGGAATAATTTTGTTGATAGATATTAATAATCTTCTCTCCAAGAGTATCTCTTCAATAATTTATCTCGTCGTATCTCGAAAGTGACACTTGATTACTCTATTAAAGTATTTAATATATATCTAACAATCGACAATTTTTAAAATAAACTAAAACTATTATCGATAATTGATAAGATTTATATAGAAAATAAATTAAAAATTTTTGATCGCTCGAAAATACGCGCCCCTATATAAATGCATCGCCAACGTTCCTGTCTCTCTCTCTTTCGACATTGCATTTCTAAAATCAAGAGCTATCGAGATGTAAACATCAGGATCAGGATTAGTTATTTTGCTAGAAATATTGGAATAATTTTGTTAATAGATATTAATAATCTTCTCTCCAAGAGTATCTCTTCAATAATTTATCTCGTCGTATCTCGAAAGTGACACTTGATTATTCTATTAAAGTATTTAATATATATCTAACAATCGACAATTTTTAAAATAAACTAAAACTGTTATCGATAATTGATAAGATTTATATAGAAAATAAATTAAAAATTTTTGATCGCTCGAAAATACGCGCCCCTATATAAACGCATCGCCAACGATCCTGTCTCTCTCTCTTTTGACATTGCATTTCTAAAATCAAGAACTATTGGGATGTAAACATCAGGCTCAGGATTAGTTATTTTGCTAAAAATATTGGAATAATTTTGTTGATAGATATTAATAATCTTCTCTCCAAGAGTATCTCTTCAATAATTTATCTCGTCGTATCTCGAAAGTGACACATGATTACTCTATTAAAGTATTTAATATATATCTAACAATCGACAATTTTTAAAATAAACTAAAACTGTTATCGATAATTGATAAGATTTATATAGAAAATTAATTAAAAATTTTTGATCGCTCGAAAATACGCGCTCCTATATAAACGCATCGCCAACGTTCCTGTCTCTCTCTCTTTCGACACTGCATTTCTAAAATCAAGAGCTATCGAGATGTAAACATCAGGACCAGGATTAGTTATTTTGCTAGAAATATTGGAATAATTTTGTTGAAAGATATTAATAATCTTCTCTCCAAGAGTATCTCTTCAATAATTTATCTCGTCGTATCTCGAAAGTGACACTTGATTATTCTATTAAAGTATTTAATATATATCTAACAATCGACAATTTTTAAAATAAACTAAAACTGTTATCGATAATTGATAAGATTTATATAGAAAATAAATTAAAAATTTTTGATCGTTCAAAAATACGCGCCCCTATATAAATGCATCGCCAACGTTCCTGTCTCTCTCTCTTTCGACATTGCATTTCTAAAATCAAGAGCTATCGGGATGTAAACATCAGGATCAGGATTAGTTATTTTGCTAGAAATATTGGAATAATTTTGTTGATAGATATTAATAATCTTCTCTCCAAGAGTATCTCTTCAATAATTTATCTCGTCGTATCTCGAAAGTGACACATGATTACTCTATTAAAGTATTTAATATATATCTAACAATCGACAATTTTTAAAATAAACTAAAACTGTTATCGATAATTGATAAGATTTATATAAAAAATAAATTAAAAATTGATCGCTCGAAAATATGCGCCCTTATATAAACGCGTCGCCAACGTTCCTGTCTCCCTCTCTTTCGACATTGCATTTCTAAAATCAAGAGCTATCGGGATGTAAACATCAGGACCAAGATTAGTTATTTTGCTAGAAATATTGGAATAATTTTGTTGATAGATATTAATAATCTTCTCTCCAAGAATAATCTCTTTAGTAATTTATCTCGTCGTATCTCGAAAGTGACACTTGATTACTCTATTAAAGTATTTATAGAATATATATAAGATTTATATAGAAAATAAATTAAAAATTGATCGCTTGAAGCTTATCTTTCTAATATTATATCGACAATATAAATCACAATATTTTTACACAATAAATTATGCGAATAATTATACATTCTTATAAAAAATAAAATAATATATAAAATCGAGACATAAAGTGTAGAACAAAAAGTTATAGAATCAAAACAGTTTTATAGTGCTTCTTAAAATCATCTTTAGGCTATTTATTTAACCTGTAAATTAATAAAATAAAAATATTCTTCTCTCTTATTGCTCAAGTTTCCAAATATTATTAATAAAGCTTATCTTCTACGTTTTTTAACGAGTAATTATCATCCTTCATCCATCGTTTTTCGATAATCGATAATCATGTACCTTATGAAATTTAGTTTACCTTATGTCTCTCATACTTTTCTCTCTCCTTCCCTTTTCTTTTCTCTCCTCGTATATCTACTGAGATCTTTTTTCACGATTCTCGTCTTCTCTCCAATGTTCGTCTGCTCCGTCATCAGCTCCTTCATGAGAGACAGATTTTCTTCGTCCATCAGAGACATCCTGGTAACCGGCGCACTTCCGTCGAAATCATCGTACTCAATGTCGATACTGGTGTCCGGTTGGAGAAGAATCCTTTGGGACGCCAATTCGTGACGTTTTCGATTTTGCGACTTCTTTGACAGTTTCTCGGATGGCGAGTTCCGCGCTGGAAGAGATTTAGCTATCTTTTTCTGCGATTTAATCGAGCTGTCACTGCTGAGATTACTTGATTCTTGACTCGAATCACTCCTCGATTTAATTTCAACTTTTTTTATCATCTTATTATGTTTAAGGGGGATCTCGAAAACAGTATCGTCGAACAATGGCTCCGTCGACCAATCGTTCCTCTCCTTCTTCGAGCTGAGCTCGCTTGATGATCCTCTCATCGTTGCTTCTTCGAATAGAGACGAGTCGAAATCCTTCGTATCCTGCGTCGACTTCAATCTTCGTCGAGAATCTTGCGAATATTGTGGAACTTTGATGCGAGTTTTGTCTTTGTAGCTATCCTGACTGTCAATCTGCTCGAGATTCTCCTCCTCGGACGATGATATCGTCGCGAGCATGAGATCGACGGCGGTTTTTAGCGACTCTTTGTTCTCTTCGAAAGTGTGCGAGGTGCTTTCGGTGTCCGTGTAAAAAGAGCGACCAGGGGTCTTGAAAAGTTGGAGTTAGAAGACGTCGCGTCCCCAAACATCCTCGTCTGCGGCGTCGCTTTCTCGCAAATATCGACGTCGAGATCGACGCCTTCATCTCCTGGCCCGTCCAGTCTTATCGCCGGCAAGAACGTCTTCATCAGCTGCTTCGCGTCGTCGGGCACTTGGGAAATGCCAGCGAGATGCTCGAACAGCGCCTTCAGGTACGCGCCCCTCGTCGCGTACGCCATGTGATTGAAGCCCACGGTGTACACGAGCCTGTTGCGATCGAGGAACGTCGTCAGGTTCACCATGTCCTTCTCGGTCACTTTCGTGTAATTAATAGCGCGCATCGCTCCATACATGTCTATGTTGAAGTCGCGCGCGTCTTTCTTCAGCTCGATCGGCTGCGCGCCAGGTCCCGCGGTGATTACCTTGTCCCTAAAGTACTCGAGAGCCTCCTGCTGCGCGGGATCCTGTTGCACGCTCTCCAGCTCCTGGCCCAGGTCTAGGATGGCCTGCAAGAGCCGACCCTTGGTCGCGTAATCGAAGGGATTCTTGGGCAGGTTCAGCTGTCGCAGCAGATCAGGAATGGAAAAGAACTTGATGACGCCGCGAATAATTCTCTCGTTCCTCGTCTTGGGCAACGCGAGGAACAGCGAGTTGATGTTGATGTCGTTCATCGTTCGCGGCATCACGCGCTCGGGCTTATTCTCGTTGTGCAGAGTTCGGTTCAGGTATCTCAACTCGGCCTGAAACTCGCCGTCGTTCGGTTGATCGGGTACACCCTCCAGCAAACGCTCGTTCAACGCGCGCAGCCTCTGCTTATAAGTGGGGTACGCCAAGCGAAAGTCGTTTTTCGTGTCGTTCATTAAAACAGACTGCAATCCAACTCGCGCGAGATACCCTCTGACAGCTTGCAACTTGCTCACGTGGTGCTTGTAATCGCGCAGCTGTTTCAACACGTGTTCCACTTCCTCCTCGCGAATGCCACGCGCGACGTCCGGCTTGAGGATCTCGACGCTCTTTCGTATCTTTTCGTCTACGTCGCCCGTCTCGGCCACTTTTAGCAAATCCATGAGCAACTGCTTCGGCGTGTCGTCCGCCAACAAGGTCTTCTCTAGGATTGGCATCTGTATCTCCTGACATCGGAAGAGCACTTTGAGATCATCGTACTTGTGATCGTTCGGAATCTCTTCAATAGCCAGCTCGATGTCGTACGATGTGGGCTTCTCATACATATTTTCTCTAGTGAGCTTCAACATCACGTAATCGTGCAGAAACACTTCCATGTCGTCGATCACCGATTTGCTCCCGATCAACTCCGGTCTTCGGATAAACTCCCTCATCATCACGCGGATTGTGGTATATATTCTTCCCTGAAGGTCAGCGCGTCGAAAAACGTCCTCGATAGGCGCGACTAGAGTGTGTTGGTGACTTTGCGTGTACAATCTTAGCGGTACAAACTGCTCGAACGGCGTACTATCTAATCCGGTAGTTATGTTATAGAAAAGCTGCTCCATGTCGTGTCTACGCATATCATCTACGCAGGCCTTGAAGGAGTTCTTGATAGTGTCGTTCATCTTCACGTCGCGCAGAAATAACGATGACATGTAAATAATTAACTCCCATTCGTTGTGAACAGTTAACGGGTCGATCTGAAAGCGATAATTCGGCGGCAATATTTGGACCAGATTCTCGGTCTTCGATACAAAGTCCCGATAGACCGACGGTGCACCGCTCATAATCTTCGCGTTCATGAGAACTGTTATACGATCCTGAGGAACGTGTACCTTTTCCGGCAAGGATTCCATATTCGTCTCCAAGTAATCGAGGGCGGAGAACATTTCCCTGGTCTGCAGCTTCTTTACGTTTCGCAGAGCAGCCAAAAGATCGAGGACGCGCTGCTTGAAGGTACGCGACGCGCGGTAGACGTCGAGATCCCAGGGAAGAAGCGACTCGATGTTGGTCGCCGATAGGAATCGCAGCAAAGCTTTTATCAGAGTGAAATGAGTGCACGGGATCGCTCGTATTAAAACCTCCACGTGCTCTGACGTGATGTCGAAATCGGGGGACGACTTCAACGTCGCTTCAGCGTTGGTCAACGCTTGCTTCGTGCTCATATTCATAGGGTTGGCCACTTTGCAGTAGTGCAGAATCTTGGCAATTTTCATCTTTCGCGATTCTAGGCTGGCGAGGTTGAAGTGAATAGGCAAATACGGCATCAGGCTAGCCAGTTTGCAATTCGTTAGGAGCTGTTCCATGTAGAAGGTACTCAACGGCAATAGCAATACCAGTCTCTCGATTTCCGTGTCATTCATTACGGGTACGTTTGGCATCTTGCTGACGATCCTTTTGGCGAAATTAACGGAATGTAACCAGGGTCCGAATGCGTTGCTTTTAGATAACTCATTCAGAACCGCCAACACCCGTAGTTTCTTCGTCTTATAATTGGTTAATTGGAAATTCATGGGCAAGGATGAGACGACGTTCATGACCGTCATCTTAGCCTTAAGCGGTTCGAGCTGCTTATATTGCTTAAACGGAATCTCCTTTATGATAGATTTTATGTCATCGCTATTGACTAACGCCTCTTGCAGTATTACGTTGGAGTTAATCTTTGCCAATTCGCTCGTGAGTGCGTCGAAGACTGTTTGCAGCTTCTCATTCTTCGCGGATCCAAGAGTCGCGCTCAGCAACGACAGAACATCGTACAACGCCATTTTAGCATCAAGTGCTTGCTTTACGTTGAAGTTACCAGGAAATAACTTGATCAATGTTAAAGGTCTTATATATTTCTTGATGAGCTCAACGTGAGGTATTCCTTCGACAGGAAGTATGTTCAAGAGTGGCGTTAAATCATCCCATGTGATGTCTGGAACATCGGGATATGTCTCCACCTCGCGGTCAAGTCTCTCCAGGTCAGAATGAACGTCCGTAATATTCAGTTGTAAAAGTTGTCGCAATAAATGTAACGCTTTCGTCTTGAATGTCGGCCGATCTTCAAAGGTAAACGATTGCGGCAACAAATTCAGCAGATTTTCAGGACTGAGAAACTCCCGTATCTTCGGGGAGGAAATATAACTGATGAATTCGAGATCCTCGCTGGACGGTCGCTTGTGAAAAGCTTGGCGAAATAGTCGTCTCATTAAGCCGGTCTTCTCGCGTATGGATTTTCTCACCAAAGTTATGGTCTTGTGGAGAGCCTTCTTTTGTCTCAAACTGGGCGACTGCAAAAAGTTATCCAGCACGGCAGCGAGGCCATCGATTGATGTGCGGTGTCTAGTGTATTCCAAGTCTGGCGGGAGATACTTTATCAGATTATCATGATTTAGGAATATTTTGAGCGGGACCAAATCGTATTTAAGCTTGAGACTCGCCAAGGCACGATGCATGCTCTTAACATCTTGCTCGGTGACAAAGTTGAAACGTTTCTCGAGATAGATGCGTAACTTATCCGCTGACTCGTAGACATTCTTGTTCTCGCTGCTTTCGATCAGGGACAACAGATGAAGCAGCTTCTTGACCGGAGTGGAAAATAATTTCCAATCCGCATCCTTGAAAATGTGCTTGTAGATTTTATCAGACTGCAGGAAAATCTTGACAGGCGCAAAGTCTCTCTTGCGTGGTATCAGAATCAGCATCTTCTCCCAGTCTTCCTTACTCAGATGTCTCTTCGAGGATGTCTTGTTGGGATTCACAACTAGCATCAAGGCACGCTTCAAGGATTGCAGATGCTCTTGCATGTCATAATTAACATACGTCGGTTCCTGGTACAATAGATAATCAACGATAGTGCTGAGTACTTCGATATTATCGTCGGATATGTCGGAAAATTCTTCTGGGTTCAAGTAACTCAATATCTCAGGATCTAAGATGGAATTGAGATAGTCTATATTGATTTGTTGAACGTGTCCGAATTCCAGTAGCAACGGTCTGAGTTGATAACCGGTGACGACTGGACCGGCCAACTGCTTGATCCTTCTTGAAGACTGTAGTTTCTGCAATTCACGCGCTACAGAACGATTACTGCGGACCTCCGGTAAACTCGCCGTCTTGGACAACAAAGTGATCAGCGGCACTTTTGACTCGACGATTTCATTGTCACGGGCGAGACGGGCCAGAAGATCGACGTTGAACAGGTGCTCGATCGATTTGAATTCTTCTTTGACTTGATGCGGGATGGAGTTTAATACGTCTCTTAGATCCGAGATCAACGTACCCGTGGATTCTTCGCTGACAGGATCGGTATTCCTCAGTATCGAGAGCGCGTCGTGGAATCGCGTATCGTTGCTTATCTGACGTTGCTGCCAAAGGATATTCACCAAGGTGCGATACCGTTTCGCGGGATTGGCAGTCGTTAAGACAGTGCGCGCAAATTTATCGCTGAAGCCCCTCTTGTGCAAGAACAGTCTGATGGGAGCGAGCTCGGCAGTGTAAGCAATTCCCGCTTCATCAAGAACAGTCAACAAGTCTGCGTCCATCCCGAAAGCGAGCACGTCTTGTCTAACGACGCTTAACAATTCCGAGATCTTGTCGGTTCGTTTGATCGCGGGATGTTTCAACAGAAGACGCAACAGCCCCAGCAGCGAGATTTTGACCGATTTAGCGGGAGGCACGGTGACCCTGAGCTTGTTGAGTCCCGTAACAGTTAGAAGGCTCTTCACGGGATCGTAAATGGTTGTTTTCGCGGCGACGACGGCGCTCTTCAACAGCTCGACTTTTATTTTCCATCCATTCAACTTTGTCTCGACGTTGGAGATGACTTTCATCAGAGCGGGATTATCGGCAATGTTAGTCCGATGTTTCGCATGGTTCAGAATCGCCAGTAACAGTTCCTCCTTCTCCAGAGAACCCTCCTTTTTAAGCTCCTCTGGCAGAATATTATAAGTCCACTCTGGCGTTAATAATTTCCGTAGGGGTTTAGCGAAGGAATCGATAGGCAGGAACGACAGAGCTTCACTGATCCGTGTCTCGCTGGCGCGCGTCTCTTCATCCGGGTTTTCGTACCCAATTTCTTTCAACGCCATCAACGCGGCTTCTGTCAGCTTTTCCGTTTCGTTTTTCGCGACAATCTCCTCGAGGTAACTCTGCAGCCAAGCTTGTCGTTCGTCGGACGAAACCGTCACATTCTGCAACTCGCTCGCTTCTCGCAAGAGCGGTTTGTAGGCAACGTTGCTCGGATCCTGCAACGATTGAATCAGGTAAGCATAAATCGGCGCCTGCCGAGGATGCTCGTTGCTGTCCAAGGAGTCCAATGCCACCCGGACACGTCTCACCAACAGTTTCTCCGCGCGTATCACGCGAGATTCGATCAAGCTTCTCAGCAGCGTGATCAGTGCTTGGCGTGGGCTGGCGTTTTCCAGCGTCGTGAGATTTAATTTTGGCACGAGCGTCAGTAGATTCGCCTTCTTCAGCAACAGAATCACGGGCTTCGCGTACGTGTTGTTTGGCAGGTATTCCAACATCGCCTCTAATGTCCGCCTCTTCAGGATCTCGATGTCAACTAGATCTTCCTCTTCCAAGATGCTCACTGCTCGCTTCACAAGTTCGGCCAGATGCCCATCCGACGCGATATGTTTAACAGGATAGCTCAGAACCCTGGCAAGGACGTTCTCCGGCGTGCCACTGATGGAGATGTTCCAATCACCCACGTTCATGTACACAGACGAGTTCAATATTTCATTCTGCAATGTGCTATTGCGGGACAGCAATTGCTGAATCAAATAGACAAAGTCGACCCGAACGAAAGTTCTGATCTTCAGCGGCGATCCATCGATGTTGTCGAGGGCAAAGCTCAGCGCCTCGGAGAGAGTTGGTTGCGCAATCTTCAAGCTCACCGTCTGTAATATTAACAAGAGTCTCTCCATCGGCTCGTGTACGCCGGCTAGATTGAAGCTTGATGATAGGTACTTGAACAGCTTGTTCTTCTTGAATAGTATTTTAAGCGGCAGATATCGCGAGTCGCTGTCAATACCAGGCAGCTGCTGCAGAAGGAATTGTAGATCTTCCGAAGTGTACAGGTTGATCAGTAGCGGTTCCTCGAGGTAGCTGCGAGCATTTTGGAGAGCTCTGGATAGAGAATCGTCGGATTTCACAGAATCGAGGGTCAACGCTCTCTTTAGCATGGCTAACAACAGACTTCTAGGAGTTTCATGCTCAAACTTGTTGAACTCGTAGCCGAGGATGTCGAGAATGTTCGGCTTGGACAGAAAGTTCAGCATGGGAGAGAACTTCTCGCTCTTGAAGACGTTTGGTATTCGCTTGAGCAGAGAAAACAAGTCGACCTCCACGTCCGTCGAGTCATCCCTTTGAAAGATAATTCCAGAGTCGTAGAGTGGGTTTCGTTTACCAGTCAGATCGAGAGCGCGGTTTTTGTAGACGAAGTCGTCGATGACGATCGCTTGCGGTTTGCTGATCGGAATGCTCCTCAAACGAGTCAGCGATAGTAACGTTAATTCTCTAGGATCGTCGCTGGTCCGTTTATCCCCGAAGGCATAGGTCCACGGTAGATCCTCGGATAGGCGAGAACGTAACGTCCTCATCGCGTCGTTTAATTTCTCCTGCAAACATGGTGTGTCGAAGGCGTCCAGGTAGCCGTTCACCTCGTATTGACTAATCGGCGCCGAGTGGACGTCATTACCGTCATATGCCAGTTTTTGGGAAACGAAGGACGTCAACAAAGACAGGGGTTTGCTCAAATGTTGCAGATTCGACTTTCTGCGAAGACGAGACAGCGCTTGCAGAAGAGCCTCATCTCCCGTTTCGTAGAAGCCAATGTCGAGATCTCGAAAGTGCGAGTCCTCGAGATGATTCGCGAGATACTTCGCCACGGCAGTAACGTTGACGGGGTAAAAATTGTTCGTAATCGTCAAGAGCCTCCTTGGATTGTCCTTCCACTTGGGAGCGAGCGAATGAGGCTTCGCGAGATTCTGAAGCAGCAACGAGACCGCTTCTCGGGTCGCCCTGGACGACAACTCGTCCACCTCCAGGCGTTCGAGGACGGTCCTCAGAAAATCCGTCACGTTCAGATTCACTGCTATATTTTGCAACAGAGGATCCTCCGCGCGCGAACGCTCCCCCATTTGCTGCGCGACGAAGCTGATGGCTTCGTGAATCTCCGGATCCGTTAGATCGAACTCCGGATAATTCACCAGGATCGCGGACACCAGGTGCAGGTTCAGCGTTCTTAGATCACGAGTCGCTCGCAACAGAAAGTCAACGTCCTCCGCCAAGGACAGACGTTTGGGTTCATCGCGAGAGATGGACTCTATCGTCTCGGAGTCCACGTTCGACAACAGGTCGACGAGCGGCGCTCGTTCCAAGACGCTGATGTCAGGGAAGATGTTTATAGAGAGCGAGGCATATTCGGAGACGAAGCGATTGTCGGCTCTCTCCAGCATTTGCAGGAGCTTGTACAGCTGCTGCTTCGGCAGCTTGTTCTTCAACGCCGGGAGGACGGGTAGCAGTTCGTAGGCGGCGACCCGGCGGTTTCGTACAGCGTTATGGACGATCTCGAGGGGTACCCTCGCGTCATCGTCGAGACAGAGCAGAAGCACGTGGCCTAACGCAGTTACCAGGTTGCCTCGCAAAACTGCGGCAGCCTCCAGACGCGATAGAATGTCCTGCGAAGTCACAGGATCCTCGGCAATGCTTTGAGAGGCATGGCTGGCTGGTATCATCGATCTTCGCAGGTATTCGATCGAGCAATGTCGATCGTAATCCCTTCCTTCATGTGAACTCTATATAATATTTTAGCGATAGAACAAGTGAAAAGAGGAGCAAATTTAAACGATCTATCATCAATCTTGTGTATTAAAAAATTATATAAAATATGTAAAGTAATTTTATAAAAGGAATAAATCAGATATTTGATTAATTATGGATTATTATTAATAATCTAACTTGAAAGAAATACAGAGAAGGATATTTCAACTGAATTAATATGTTGACACGTTATAAAATTAATTAATTAATTAATAGATAATTAATTAATAGATTAAAGATTTCTTATCACTATTTGTATTAATTATGTAAAAAAAAAAATGAAATGTAATGCAAATATCTTATTTTTACGCTCACCGATGTTTGTCGTTCAGCGACAGATTGAGCGAATTGACAGAATAATATCAACACTGTTGCGATCAGTATCGCGATCCAGTTTATTCGAAATGGGTTTCGGAGATTTGGAGTATTAAATCGATGTTTGATTTTTTCCCTTTTCAAAATGCAGTCCACATAATCCAAAAATGCATTCCTTATAATTGCCATCTATAGAAAAATAATCAAGTTATAATTGCAATCTCTTCTTCTCTTTCTCTTTGTCTCTTTCTAAAGCTCGTTTGAAATTTTATTTCTTCAATCAAAAGATAAGGCATTTTTTTCTATCCTCAAGAAACAAATTTTGTAATCTTATCATTGTGTAAATTTTGTAATCTTATCATTGATTGATACACGTTTTCAATTATGATGTAATTATCTTAATCTTTATACCTGCATTTATCATGGCACGAACAATGGTGTTTGTCGTGTTGGAAGGAAATAAAAACGCGATAAGAAATTAATATTAGCACCGAGTTCAAGACGTATTATTTGCACGATTTATCGGTCAGTCTACGAGCCAGCAGTTACGAGCCGCAATCTTCGCAAAACGAGCGAAAACATATTTGAATATAATAATTTCATATAAAAGTAATCTCATTATCCAAAATTATTCGCTGCTTAAAAGTGCAAAAGTAATAATTGTATTAAATTGTATAAACACATAAGGCAAAGAAGCGATAATCAAAATAAAATCTATGTAAGTATCATATACATCAATATTCTTAATATTTTTAATCAAATCTTAAATTTTAATTTTAATAGAATCTTAATATTTTTTATTATTTTCGCCAAATTAATTAATCCAATTTATACGCTTTATAAGTGATTACACACAAGTTTTTTTATATCTCACCTCATAAAAAGAATTAGGATAAAGTTCGAATCACAATCACTGCGATACAGAGAATGACACGATTAAAAATTCTTAACACAATGAAAAATTCGTTACGATAATCGATTTATAATTCACTTAGAATTCAAACGTGTCCTAAAAGCTTCAAATACTAGTATCTAATTTATAGTCATCGATCTAATTCACTAGCTAGGATCATTTCCAGTCATCGAGTCATACATTAAAGAGACTTACCGTGTGACAGATACAAGGGACACATACCCTTAATAAAGAGATTTGTCTGGAGTGTATGTATTTCGCTTATGTATTTGGCGACTGGCGAGGATGGAGGCTCGTCCAAGACGTCCTCGACGATCGGACTGTCGCGTCTCGACCGTCAATCGAGCGGATCGATATTGTGATCAATTAAATCGGCGGTCGCGATGGCGAATCGCTAATCGATTTCGACGCGAGCCTCCTCTCCTCCTCCGTTCATTCGACACGCGCGAGCGAATCGTCGAGAGAGTGAATTATAGTACACCTGCATACACCTATGCAGAGACGAGGAACGATAATAATGCGGCGAGACGTATCGAAAGAGCTGACGCGAGCTTAATTTCATTCGTCGCGTTGATCTTTCTCGCACGTGAAAACTGTGGAAAATCGCGTCAATTTTCCATTCTTTCCATCACTTTGAATTTATTGTGTTAATAGATAATTGAATAAAATAATTCTTAATGGTATTTGATGATTTATTGAAATTTACGTGTGCAATTAATTTTTGAAGAGGAAAATTTCGCTTCTTTTAAAATACTTCATCTTATTCATCGCGAGATTCTCTAGAGATGAGATCGATTTACGAAAAAGAAGTATTATTATTTTTATTTATATATTTTTATATTATAATTTTATTTATTATTAATAATGTTATACCTTTGTATTATATTTTTATTTATTATTAATAATATTATATTTTTGTATTATATTTCTAAATATATTTTTAATATGTTCCTAATAATCTCTCCGTTTCAATTGTTACATCAATAAATTAAAATTAATTAAAAATTAATAAAAATAAAAAAATGAATAAAAATAAATTAATAAAAATAAATTAAATTAATTAATTAAAATATAAAAGGATCAAAGAAATATAATCGACCAAACTAGCCAGAAATTGATTTATTAGTACGACGTTTCGACCATATGATTGTGGTCCTTATCAAGTATACACGATGTAATAAAAATTAGGAAACCGGCATGGATGATAATCTTGTAAATTGCACAAGTCACATTAAAAAGTCTCTTGACGAAGTCTCTCACAGACGCATTAATTTCTCTCGAATTCAAATTTAGTTAAAATAACGTGTTTTTTTTTTTAATGTGACTTGTGCAATTTACAAGATTATCATCCATGCCTCCTGATTTTTATTACATCGTGTATACTTGATAAGGACCACAACCATATCGAAACGTCGTACTAATAAATCAATTTCTGGCTAGTTTGGTCGATTATATTTCTTTGATCCCTTTATTTATTGGACTAGCGACATCAAGATATTCATAACCTTTTAATTAAAATATGTATCATAAGAGAAGGGCAAAAGTATTTAATTATCGCTATATATGCTTGTAAAGGGGAGCTTTGTTCAAAGTTTCTTTTTACTGGCTTCACGGTGGCATCCTCATACGTGGCAAACGCCTCGACGATAATAAAAGCGTTGCATCGTGCGTTCCGAGAATGTTAGTTTCTTGCGGCTTGAAGTAGAGAGCGATGCTTCTGGGCGCGCGTGCTCGCCGATGCGTGTATAACGAGACCGTGTCCTAAGAAGAAATCCGAAAAAGTGCTCCTCACCCGCGAGGGGGAAAAGCAGATGCGCCGGCTCCTTGACGCGCAATTGACGTCGACCGAGGCGGAAAGGATCGCTGACAGGACGTCGATGAATTATCGCGTCTTGGCGCGTCGTAATTAATCGGCGCGCTTATAACTCACCCCTTTCGCGAACGTCGTCGTTGTGGGTCCATGAGTTATCGTGACGAAGTCGAACGGTCGTCAGGTTTCCAAATTTGCGAATAAATTATCGAGATTATCAATTAAATTACGATTTTAATCCACTAAATTAACATCCTTTTTTCGATTGCAATTTTTAATCTAATATCTAATTTGATGGTTCAACCTGTTATATCATTTTTCTTTAATATTTAATAGTTTATATTTGTCGAAAGCTCCTTTTTATATTTCTCGCAATGAAACTATAGATTCGTTTACTATTTTATTTCGTCAATTTTTATATAAATTGAATCTATAATAAATTTATAAATTTATATTTAAATAAATAATATAATACTTTGCTAACATTATACATTTATAAAAATTTATATTTAATAAATAATATAATCTTTCGTTAATATTATAATAAATTTATATTATTTATAATAAATAAATATTATTTATAATAAATATTATAATAAATTTATATTATTTATAATAAATTTGTATTTAAATATAAATATAAAAAAAAACTATTTAATCTACATAAATAAATTAAATTAATCGAAATTCTTTAAATTCAAACAAGGATAAAATTGAGGAAAATTTCGTCTGGACCAAATGACAAATTAAACGAACGAAAGCGTCGATTATCTCGAATACCTGTATTTTATAGCCTCGTCTCATTTCACCGCGTATTAAAAAGAGAAGATTACGAAAGAGGGTTTTATTAAAAACTTAAAAATCTGGAGAAACACTCGCCGGAACTGGATGTATCTCTCTCGTTGTGTAACTGGCGCGAATCAGATAAGCTCTCCGCCGAACTATCGAACATTTTCCAAATATATATATATATATTTTTTTTTAAATATCACAATCTCGCAATCGCCGCGCGATCTCGAATTAACACGGGCCGTATAAATCAGCATTATTTCTCGCAGAGAAAACATTTCGATATCCCCTGGCCGGGGAAAAAAAGGGAGTCGATCGCGAGATTAATCCAGTGTTCGCTCGCTCGACGACAATCGAGTTTTTATAAGCGGCTGCATAATGCCGATAGCTTATCAAACTCGAATCTCTCGGAACGGTGCCTCTGCCTACGCGTACATTTATAAACTGCTGTCCAGTAGAAAGGAGACATTATTTTCACAAAATGCATCGCGTTCTCATTGTGTCGATTTCTCTCTCTCACTCTTTGAATATTATTTATCATCATTTATTGACAACCAATCCTTGTCTTTCGGCTTGGGATAGACTTTCTGTTCAATAATTAAACTATAAACTCACAATCTTTATTCCTTTGAATTTTTAAAATCTTTAAAATCTTTAAAATCTTGAAACTTAAGTTTTTATTTTAACTTTTAAAACTTGAAAACATAAAAACTTAAAGTCCACTCTCCTTGAATATATTTATTTGGAAATCGAAATCAAGCCACAATATATAATTATCTAAGTTTAATGAAGATTCGAATCGAAAAGCTTTGCTTCTATTTTAAATCTCGTGCATTTTAAAAGATTTTGATAAAAATTTGAAAGCTCCTATTCTCTTTATACTTTCAAATAAATAACTTCACATTTAAAAGTTCAAAAGAGGAGCTTTTGGCAAAACTATAAAGCAAAACTATAAAATAAATAATTTCGAAAGAGAGCGATTTGAATATGATTAAAATATCAAGAGTAGATTTTATCAAAGATTGAGATTAAAAATACGAGAAAAATTTCAACTCGGAAGTATTCAAGAATATAATGAAGATTCTTAAAAAACATCGTGTATATATATTCAAAACTACACATACATTTTCATTTTTAAAGGTATACTTTACAAACATGACTTTCTGGGGGACCTTTCGTGTTACTTTGATAACGTCATAATCTACTCCTCAGAGTGATGCGTGAAGAGATTGAGATTTTTTTTCTCAAATCCATCTCTCCTTCTCTAAGATCGATCTCGCGACACGTTTGACAAAGATCGCAAACACGATGCGAGAGAGAAAGAGAGAGAGAGATAGAGAAACAGAACGCAATCTCGCCGACAAGCAGCGAGATGCCATCAACCGACATCGGACCGCGGCGTCGACATCCACCCCATTTTGCGCCTACGACGAGTCTCGTCGGCAAATTTTTCACGTGGTACAACGCGGCTTAATAAGGACATCTCGAGACGGTTCACATCGGGCGGTTCGCGTGGGCCGTTCGCGCAATCTCGACATGTAAATTCGCCCCGAACGATGTTTCTGACCGGAAGACCTCTCTGGTCGCGCGCCCTCCCCCTCTCGCTAAGGGTGGTAGTAAGCGAGGGGCGAGGGGAATACATTTCTGGGGAGAGGAATACATCTCTCCGCGGACGCACACGCAGGGGTACGCTTTCGTAGACGCGCGTATTTGTGTTGCACGGGCGCAGAAAGAAGAGAGAGGCGGCCGCCCCTAATGCAGATGAGATGGTATCGCGCGCTAGCCCGGTAATCGCGAGGATCTCAGAAGTCCGGACAATACCAGGGGACGTTCTCCACTGTTCGGGAACACTCAAACATCGCGTGACAATGGCGCCGAATGGGCGACAGCTGCTTAACGCTCGCCCTCGCGCCCTCATACGATTCTCCTCGCTCTCTCGCTCTATCTCGTCGTTCGCGGGGAATTTTTAACGGCAGATTTTTCCCGCGGCCTCGGAGGAAAAAAAGGACGCGGGATCCGAAGGACGAAAGCTCACGCATCCGTTTTGCACGAGGAAGAAGTGTCTCGAGCCGGTCCTTTTTTTCTCGAGAACAAACTGAGAGGGGCTCTACCTGTCCGTTTTAATTGCGCTCAAATTTTTATTCTCTGTATTAAGAATGAGATGCGCAGAGTTTTGGAGGAAGGAGGAAAATAAAAAAAAAAAGATGCAGTTGTAAACTCGAACAAATGATGAAGTATAGATTTTTATAAATATTTTTAATACGAAAGAGAGTGAGAGAGATAAATGATTCCGTTTTGTAAATTTATATATATTACAAATTGTGTATAAATAATAATAAAATCTTTTTACAATGTTGGAGAATTAATGAGAGTAAAAGTAAATTAATAAATTAATAAAAATAAAAAATTAATAAAAGTAAAAATATTCTCAACATTTACAAAATTAACCGTAAGTCTTTCAAGTAGACGCGCAATGTCAGTGAGAGATATTTCTCTAAAGCAAAAAATATAATTGATAAAAATGTCGGCCTCCATTTTCCCCTAAATCTAATATAACTGGCTTTGCGAAGATGATTAATATATAAGAATCACTAACATAATTATGATAACATAAATGATATTACGGTACTATTGGATAGAGTTATCACGTCAAAAACGAGATTGCAAGCAGTTTGTTTACCGACGAAGGAGGCGAGCTCTGTCTCCGGATGCGGGCGTAAAGCACGCGTTCCGGAAACGTGACACGCGTTTGTCAGACGAAAACGCGAACCCTATAGAGAGGTACAAAAGGGGACTGAATAACGTTGTAGTTAGTGGTAAAAATCGAAGTGATAGCGGGTACGAGAAAAGCGAGACGTCCGGTGCTCTCTCTCTCTCTCTCTCTCTCTCTCTCTCTCTCTCTCTCTCTCTCTCTCTCTTTCTCTCTTTCCCGCTTCATCTCGTGTGCCTCCCGTAAAAACCGAAAATCCGCAGATCGGCGATCGGCGATAACCGAAAATACAGCTGCAGTTTGCGGTCACCCGATGCACACGGTGGCCGTAGATGGCCGATCGCGATTAGCGAAACGTAGAACGGGCCCCGAGCAAAAAGCAGAGGGTGACAAAGTGTACGTGTGTGCATGCGAGAGAAAGGGAGAGGGGAAGAAACGAAGAAGAGCTCGTAGAAAACTCGTATTTTGATTGGAACGGCCGTAATTTGGCGAGCATTGTGCTTCGAGTATCTCGTCGAGATGGACTCGCGACGACGTGAGATTTTCACGAGGACCTACCGTACATCCTCGGTTAATGCTGTGCGGAGGCATAAAACGCGGGACCGGCCTTCTCTCCGGCCCTCGAGAAATTTGTTTGCGCTTGTTGGTACCTTTGAAATGTCACAATCGTTTGTGTGTCTCCGAAGGGAGGCCCCGTCAGGTCTCTTATTGTGGTCGCTCGATCGCAGTCACACTCGAGACGTTCGCGCGTGATAAATCATGCGAACGCAGCTTGCGTCCTGCCGAGCGAGATCCCGATGACCGAATTCTCGAATAGATATGTCTCTGGCTTGTTTCAGTTATAGCATCCGTAAGGCATTGGAATATACAGAAGAATAAAATATAATTAAGGATATCGATCGACACAAGAAAGCCCTTTTGCATCAATAAGACACGATATTTAATCTACATTTAAGGTGTACCTATATCTACATCTACATCTAAGATTAATGTTGAAACGACTTTTGATATTATAGAGAAAATTGGACACCACTCAGGAATTGACTTGACAGGAGAAACTCATCTTTTTATTTGTGAAAAAAATTCTCACGAAGTAAACAAAGTAACTATCTTTTTTTAAAAATATATTTTATCATGTTTTTTTAATCTTATGTTACTGATTTGTAATGTTCAGTTATTTTATTAGATTTAAAGAAAAAATGGAGATTCGTATTATTCAGTTATTTATTAGATTTAGAGAAAAAAAAGAGATTGGTATTTTTTATCAATTAGTTTCCTATTTTAGAAAAATATTTTTCTACTGGCATTGCAAGAGAGAATCTATAGGAAATATTTTCTTAATTAATTAATTGTTAAATTTGTCAAAGTGGAGAAGTTTTGCTTTTAATTTCTCAACATTATAAAGAATTTTTATTACTACTTATAGATACAAATATCTGTAATATATATAAATTTATAAAACGATAATTCAAACCGAATCATTTATCACTTTCCTATTAAAAGTATTTATTACAAAAATCTATATCTCAAATCAGTCTAAAAATAAGATGAATAATGAAAGGCTCAGCGTGTGTTTTGCTCATTTCAGGCCACATGAGTATGGAAAATTGTCAAGACTCGATGAACCAACCTAGAAAACCCCAGGAAAGTTTTCTTGCATCAACAAGCCACAATGTTGTCCAATCTACATCTATGAAAAATAAAACTGATGAAACTCTCTCTACTTGCGAGAAAAGTAGAAAAATGCCAACAATAGATAGCTTAATTGAGAAATCCATTTTTCTTGATTATGAGAAAGATTCCACAACAAAGTAACTATCTCTTTCTAAAAAAATACATTTTATCATGTTTTAATCTTTAAAGAAAATAAAGTTATGTTAGTGTCCCTTATGTTACTGATTTGCAATGTTCAGTTATATTAGATTTAGAGAAAAAATGGAGACTAGTATTTTTATTTTATAATTAAATTCCTATTTTAGAAAAATATTTTTCTTACTGACATTGCATAAGAGAAAGAGAGAGTCTACTGGAAATATTTACTTAATTAATTAATTGTTAATTTTGTCAAAGTTGAGAATATTTTTGTTTTTATTTTCCAAAATTATAAAGAATTTTTATTACTATTTATACATATACATACAAATATCTGTAATATATATGAATTTACAAAACGATAATTCAAATCGAATCATTTATCACTTTCCTATTAAAAGTATTTATTAAAAAAATCTATATCTCAAATCAGTCTAAAAATAAGATGAATAATGAAAGACTCAGCGTGTGTTTTGCCCATTTCAGACCACTTGATTATGGAAAATTGTCAAGAGGCTCGATAAATCAACCTAGAAAACTCCAGGAACGTTTTCTTGCATCAAAAAGAGACAATCAAGAAAATGTTGTTCAATCTACATCTAGAGAAGATGAGACTGATGAAACAATCTGGGATATTTGCGAGAAAATTAGAAAACTGCCAACAGCAACACAGTTACTTGAGCAAGTGATTTTCAGAAAGATATTTGATTATGAGAAAGACTTTTCTCTCATTCAAAGGTACTAAATATCTCTTCCTAAAAAATACGTTTTATCATGTTTTTTTATTTCTAAAGGTGATTAGAAATTTGTGTATCCCTGTATCTAAAGAAACGAACAAAGTTATGTTAGTGATTTTTAAAACGTTTAGCTATATTAAATTTAGGAAAAAAATAAAGGTCAATATATTTTTATCCAATTATATTTCCTATCTTAAAGAAATATCTTTTACTGGCACTGCAAATCTACTTGAAATACTTACTATTAATTTTGTCCAAATTGAAAATATCTTTACTTTTATTAATTTTCCATTTAACATTATAAACAATGTTTACTATACATATGTAATTTAATCGATAATCAAACCGAATCATTTATCATATTTTCGTATTAAAAAATATTTATTAAAAATCTATATTTCAAATCAATCTAGAAACAAGAATAATCATGAAAGACTCAACGTATATTTTGCCCATTTCAGATTACTCGATTATGAAGTTTCAATGTTCGATTATGCAAACGATTCAAGATTCTAACAAAATTCTAACAAATTCCAGCGAATTGAGAGATATGATTAAATCGAAAAGGAAACGACTCGAATGCTTTTATAAACGAATAATCTTCGTGATGCTCTGCCTCACTATAACTAATACATTATTCCGAGATACAGACCCATATCCTAGGGGACTTGCGTTGGTAGCGCGATAGATGACTGTAGGAGGTCCTACGACGTCCTGGGGGTTCCAGGATCAACGAGCAACGGGATATCAATCTCACCACCTGGCTGAGGCAGACTTTTGTTTGAACTCTCGCACAAGTCACTCCTACACTTTATTCTAACATCTATATCTGTTTGTAGAGGTGGAAAGGAACATCAGTTTTCCAGCAAAAAGAATACATTATAATTTCAGAAAATTCTCTACAAATGACATTTGTTGATTTTAACACTGGAAGCGATCCCAATTCTATTCTGTAAATTCATCTTACAATATATGATGTAAAAACATGTCAAATATAATCGATGCATCCGATATTTCGATACACTTTTTAAACAACGCATATTTTCCTGTTTTTTTTTTGCTACAAATCCAATTATGGATGTTCGAGAGGATCGACCTATCGCCGAGTCGCGTTGAGTTAGTTAAGTCATTCGTTAGAATCATAGGGATGTTCGGCGATGTCGCCGTGGAACGTCGGTGTCAGTGACAAACGAGCGGCACCGTCGCGATCGTACCCTCGTCACACGAGGCCCGAGCCTCGGTGGATGCGAACACGCATGATGTCCGATTTTTGGGAACGGAATTTTTTAATAGGGATCGCAATCACACGGCCCCGACGAGGCCCATTCATAAAGACACGAGGAGACACGACGAAAATCGTATCGGCATCCGAGATAATTAGAATCGAAGATCGTTGATGCTATCGAGACCAGCGACACACTTGTATCGTAAATTACTATCAGCTCTACGACACTTTTAGTCCTAACAGTACGTCTCTTCTCAATTTTATAAATGTAAGAGGCATGCGATTTTTACGAAAGTCGGGCCTAAGAATATCGGATGCAGCTAGATACTTTTGGGAAGCAACAAGCAAGTCTAAATATTAGATTATTCGTCGTGTTAGTTTCTTTACAAAGGGGATCTAGTATTTCGAGTATATGGATTTGAGAAATATTATAAATTACCGGCGCAATCCCTCCGAGAATTTCCTCGACGCAAGAGAAAAGGGTGTGGCACGGTAGTCAAATAAGACGAGCGTTTCGGGGATCGTAGAATCGACGACGGATCCGGTTCGAGAAAGGTCCCGGAGTTAAGTATGGGTGTTCCCCGGGGGATAACAGGATGTCTTCTCTGATTGCTCCCTTGTCCGCGAGATTACTGCCGGCGAGCCGGCGATATTTCGGATTTCGTCGCCGCGTATCTGCATTTCTAATACCATCCGGCACGGTAGTACCGGTCGAGATTTAAATATTGTTACGATTACGAGACGAATAATCTGATGCGTCGTATAATCTCGGGATGCACGAATGCATCGACATGTTCCGAGAAATTGTATTTGTCAGGTGTCGGCGAGCGACAATCCCGGCGAATGGGAACGTTGACGAGGTTACCAGAACGCGATAAAAAAAAGAAACATTTATTTGCACACTGAAAAAACTGATTGGTAATAATCATCAAATATATTTACTTGTGAATTTTAATTGAATATTTGATAAATATTATCATATTTTATAATAATTACTAAATCTTCAATTGATCTAGTTGTAAACAAATTTTGTTTGCAGTTGAATCAATTAAACAAGTAATAATTATTAAATATTTAATACTTATCATAAAATCTTTGATGATTGTTATTAAATATGTATGAAATTGTTGTAAATATTACTAAATCATTCAATTTAAGATTATTAGATATTTGATAACTATTACTAAATGATTTAGTTAGGTCAACATGTTTGATAAAATAATTGGTAATTATTAACAAATTTTGGTAAGATAGTCATGTAAAGTTTCGCGCAAGCACGCAAGGATATGTTAGTTTATTCGTTCATCGCTATACGACGTGAAATGCACTATCTTTCTCGTATTTAAGTTTAGTTATGAGAATTATATAAAGCTTGCAAAGAGTAACAAATAAGATTAAAAATATATATTGTTCAATTAAATTTCTGATTTCTCAATATAAGAGTTTCAGATATTAAATTGATTTTATAAGTCGGATAAGTAAATGTCCGGCAAATAAACAAAAATAATCCGTTCATTACCTATTTAAAATGTAAAGTGCAATATGCAAGTATAAATTATAAATAAAAAAATAATAATTAAAAAATTTGATTTTAATTAATTTTAATTTTAATTTTTTAATTTCTCGTTATCATGATTTAGTTAAAATTACCAAATATCTGATAATACTTATTAAATATATTATTTTCTGCTACAAAAATTTGATTACAGTTATTAAAGCTTTGTTAAACCAATCAAATTTGTAATTGAATGAATTAAATTTAAGTAGTCTAAACTAAATATTTTATTTACTCAATTAATTTTTTTTGTAATTGTTAACACACATTTAATTAGAACTATTTGCCCAAATCATTTAGTAATTGTTATTAAATTCTAGTGTCTACTAAATTCTTTTTTCAGTTTAGACTGTGTCCTTCGTTTTTCGCTCGTTAAGAATTTCTACAGAGCAAACTATCTCACATCTCTATCTTTTAATTTACTCGACAGAATCTCGCTGCATTTTTGCGATGCAAGAGAAAATTTCCAAATTTCCACGATTAATCGAAAAAAAGAGAAAATTTCCAAATTTCCAAGATTTTTCGAAAAATCTCTTTATTGAGAATAAGCCCTGATATATCTAAATCTCGAAAGAAATTCTGATGAGAGCGCTTCGAGAGTCTTGTCCCTATTTGGGAGATCAGATGGTGCCGGAAAGGGCAGCGGAGGAGGAAGGAAGAGTTTAGATGGAGAAGTGGCGAGAGGAGGGTTGGTCTTGTACGACCAACGCGCTCGTCCCCTGCGTCGTCTATGCAGATATGCCGCACTGATACGCTTCAGCTCCCGGTCTCTAGCCCCCGCAGATAGAGCCGATATTATTCAGCTAGGCTCCTCACTAATTCCATTCATTCATCGGAGGGAACGTAGGGAAGCCGAGGCTTCGGGCTCTCAGCGTAATGTCGTGGACGTCCTCTGTAAATCGTGTCTTCGCCTAACGTCGCGTGTAACAAATTCTAACACACGTGTAATTTTCAATTAATATTTAGAAACGTCAAGTTTATAAACTGCATTTTCTTCTCATAAAAAAATATATTTCATATCTGTGTGTTTTTTTCTCCATTGAAGAGATGTTATCATCACACGTTTGGACTCTGGGTAGAACAGGAACCTTTTGTGTTTGATTTTTCTCTTTCAAAATTCTAATTAAAATAAGTCCCAATTAAAGGATATATTTGCCCGACATTGCGAGAAGAAACATTGTTTCAAGCAGAAATGACCATATGTCAATCTGAGAGAGAGGAACCTCCTTCCTCGTCCATTTTAGTGTCCGCAAATAGTCCCGCAGGAATATATATTTAGGAAACAACGACAAACGAATCTATCGGGACCTGCGAGACTGGCAGATGCGCAGCGCGAATTACACGGTGGATTGTAACGACAGGATCGCCGCGGGGTATCCGCATTACGTTCTGGCCACGTAACCCTCGTTAAGGGGTTTCCTAATGGAGGAACGGAGGGGGGGAACCACCCCCGTATTGCTCGACGATAGTTTACCGGGGACTATTAACTAACTGAGTAGGGCAACCTGCTACCACAAGCTAATCCGGCTTGTCTAATCTCGATGGAGCGAGAGAACGTACACCGCGATTACTCCCGGTTAAGATCGTCAACTAAAAAAGGGCCAGTCTCCGCCGCTTTTTACGACTGCTCGATTGCGAGCAGTTTACCGGCAACTGCATTCCCAGGTAAATTACACTGTAGATAGAAATCATTGTATTTACAAAGTCTATCTATAAAATCTGAAGAATCTGTACAAAGTGTATGAGATTCTAAATAAATATAAATAAATAAATATTCTCTAATTTAAATCCCCATAAAAACGTAGTGATTTTTGCGATTCTTTCTAAACGTGTTCTTCTTCTAAGTCTAAATATCTTTTTTTAATTTTATTTAAATTTTTAATCGATTGAAAATTAGACGATGATCGAGAATTAAACTTAGGTAGTAATAATAAGAAAAATTCTGTTTTGTTAACTGTAATAAATCCACGTAAAAGCATAGTGGTTTTTGCGACTTCGCCTAAACTTCTTCTTCTACAAGTCTGAATATCTTATTTCTTTGAAATTTAATTCAGATTTTTAATCGATTAAAAATTAGACGATAATCGAGAATTAAACTTAGGTAATAATAATGAGAAAAATTCTGTTTTGTTAATTTAAATCTACGTAAACGCATAGTGGTTTTTGCGACTTTGCCTAAACTTCTTCTTCTACAAGTCTGAATATCTTATTTCTTTGAAATTTAATTCAGATTTTTAATCGATTAAAAATTAGACGATAATCGAGAATTAAACTTAGGTAACAATAATGAGAAAAATTCTGTTTTGTTAATTTAAATCCACGTAAAAGCGTAATGGTTTTTGCGACTTTGCCTAAACTTTTTCTTTTACAAATCTGAATATCTTATTTCTTTGAAATTTAATTTAGATTTTTAATCGATTAAAAATTAGACGATGATCGAGAATTAAACTTAGGTCGTAATGATGAGACGAAATTCTGTTTTGTTAATTTAAATCCACGTAAACACATAGTGGTTTTTGCGACTTTGCCTAAACTTTTTCTTCTATAAATCTAAATATCTTATTTCTTTGAAATTTAATTTAAATTTTTAATCGATTAAAAATCAGATGATCGAGAATTAAACTTAGATAATGTAATGATGAGAAAAATTCTGTTTTGTTAATTTAAATCCATAAAAACGTAGCATTTTTTGCGCGATACTGTCTAAACTTCTTCTTCCATGAGTTCGGATCTCTTAGATTTCTTTTCAATTTAATTAAAATTTTTCAATCGATTAAAAATCAGACGATAATCAGGAAATAATTTTAGCTCGTTACTCACGAGAAGAAAGATTCTGTCCGACGCCAACTATGAGGAACTCCAGGAATTAATTACCTTCACCTGGTCTATTCATGGAGAAGCAGTTTCCAGTAGCTTTTACAAATCCAGGAGTCTTCGGGAATGGACTAATATGATGTAACGGTAACCGGTCGATCACGGAGCGACGTTGAAACAATGCTGCCACTCTAATAACAGGGAACGATCGAGTAACCATGCTGCGTCATCATCATCTTCATCATCATCATCATCATCATTTTCTTCTTCTTCTCTCTCTGTGGCTATCGCGGTTACTGAAGGTCGCACGGTTAATGCATTCAGATTCCGTGAATGGGCGTTTATCGAATAAAGTGCTGGGCGTCCACCTTTGGCGGTTCCTCGAAATTCCTCTCCTGCTCGTCAGCGTTTGTATCTTCCCTCTTTCCTGATTCTTGATTTGCTTCATTTAAGACGTGCTAGTGACAATTAAAACAAAATATGTGTATCAAAGAAAGCCTTACAATTTTAAAGTTCTACATTCATATTAGTTGTATCTCTCTCTCGCTAGTTATATTATGCATATATTCAATCAATGATATATAACTTCTG